GTAAATCATACTATTTGTCTTAAGGGCGTTTTTCTTTTTCTTTTTTGGTATTGAAAAAAAAGATAAACGAAATTTTCAAATGCACAGGTTTAGAGACAGTAAACAACACACACCTTCTAAGGCTCTGAAAAAACCTAGAAGAAAAGGTAATTTTTGAAGCATGAGAAAGCACTTGTGCCTTGTGGTCATCATCGGAATGACTCGATGTTTTTTTGGCTTGAAAACTTATTTGTCTGATGATGGGCACAGGCACAGGTAGCGCATTATTGATTCAAGAAAATGGACCCAAATGCAAGCATGTCCTATAGTTATATAGTGATCACTTTAAGAGGCTGACTTTTCAAAAAAGCATTATGATTGGATATGGACCATTTGATTTTTGACCTAAAACGTAGGTGTCAGTGTAACACCCTGCCATCTGTCACTATTTCATTCATTTATATTATTTGTTGCACATACGTCAGGCCAACTTCATGCTTTTTTGATGGGAGACCACTTTATAACGTGAGGGTTTTTTCTGAAGGGAAATGCATGCCGTGGTGTTCACACACACCTAATTTCCTTTCCACACATGAGGAGCTTAAAGGGAAGAAATATAGATGTATTTAATTTTTTGATAAAGCGATATTAAAAGTGGAGGAATCAAACCTAGAACATCGGTCGCAAGAGAAAAAAAGAAAAGAAAAGAAACGAAAAGGGTATAATTTCAACTCAAGGAAGGAGCCAATGGATGCGACATAGTACAGTACAGATGAGGCAGAATTTTGTTCTTTTTAAAAGAAGGGGTTGCTTAATCGTCCATTCTTAAGCAAGCGTGCTCATCCTTGTAAGTTATATATCCAACGCCCATGATCCATCCAAAAATTCCAATCCATGGGAGGGGCTTAGGGAATCTTTTGCTAAGATATTTTATATTCGCATTTGGCATTTGGCATCTGGCTTCGGCCGATCCGACGTTCACGATATGTGGGGTCTTAATGTAGCTCCTTTTAATATAGACATTGACTCATTCAGCACGTAACTTTAATCTTGACTCATTTATTACCTTTTACAAACAAACAAACAAATCAACTATTTAATTATCTAAGAGTTTAAAAAAAAAATCACAAATGGTCCTCGAGGTTTGCCAAATTATTACCTTTAGTCATTTATGCTTTCTTTTGACATTATTGGTCATTTATATATATTTTTAAATAGTTTAACATTTAAAATCTTTTAGAAAAAAATTTAATCAAAAAAAGAGAAAATTTTCAAAACATAATTTTTTTTATATTCAAATCCACTTGACATGTTATTATTGGACATGTAGGCTCCGTATACATGTCACGTCAAATTCATTATATTTTGTTGAAATTTTTGTTTAATTGATGAAAATTTCAGCAGAACCTGACAGATTTGACGTGATATGTATGTGGAGTCTACATGTCCAATAATAACATGCCAAGTGGATTTGAATAAAAAAAAATTAATGTTTTGAAAATTTTCTCTCTTTTTAAAATATTTTAAATGTTAAACTATTTAAAAAAAAAATATTTCTTCATTTAGATCCACTTGACATTTTCTCATTGGCTATGTGCGCACCACATATGTGTCATGTTAGCAATTTAACAAAAAAATTTAATGAAATCTCACAATGGGATCAAATTGATGTGTGAGGTGTAACATAAGGACCAATAATGTCAAAAAAAAAAATATAAATGACCAAAGGTGATAATTTCGCAAACCTCAAGAATCATTTGTGATAAAACCCAAAATATTTAAAACATTGTTTGATCCATGTCGGCAATCTAATGGAAAATTTTGACGGAACGTGACAGCGAGACCAAATTGATGTGTGAGGTGTAACATAAGAGACCAATAATGTCAATAAATAAATAAATAAATGACCAAGGTGATAATTTGACAAACCTAAGGGATCATTTGTGATAAAAAGCCATTATCTAAAAGGATAAATACAAACTCACAGGTTCTACAAAAAAAAATAAAAAAATAAAAATCAACATCAAAATCAAATTATTTGGGTGAGGGGGGAATTCTATTTGCAATCAAATCTCAATCTCAATCCCTTCTATCCCTTGCTTAATGCATAAAGACTCTATCGTCTTTTGCTTTTTTGGTTGTCAAAATTAGGTAGGGGTAGGGGTGTTTTCTCAAACACACATTGCCAAGGTGTCGGAATTAAATTTGAAGACATTTTTTCATTGGGTTAGATCCCATTGACAATGCTGATTGCTAATTAATTGATGAGAATGTTTCTATAAAACCAAAAAAGAAGAAAAATAATTGATGGGGAAATGAATGCGTATGCGTAGCATGCAATTTCAAATGCGAGAGAAGGACAGCAAACAATAAGAAACAGAAATTGGGAATCGTAGAGTGAAAGATAGGTAACCGCGTCAGTCAGGTAATACTCTATTACTTACTCAGACTATATATAGCGTAGTCTATTCTATATCTTCACTAATACCAATATAAAAACAAAACAAAAAATATAGACGCTGGCACGCAAACCCATTTGCATGATATTAACAGCTGGAAATACAAAATTAGGTTTCAGAAGGAAAATAGCAGAAGCAAGCAACCCACCGACAAAAGCTTGCTTCCCACATGGAACCACACGTAATGTAATGTAATGTCTAAGAGCAAGTCCACCCAAAGGGCTAAGGCAAGGGCTAAGGCAAGGCAAGGGCTGCCACTATTCATGTGAATAGTGGCAGCCTTGCCTTTTTTGATTCCACCCCAAAAGACTAGGGCAAGGGCAAATACTATTCATTGTACTTTATTTCCTATTTTTTTTATACTTTAAACCATTAATTTTGGTTGCCACGTGTCTTGTTTTTAATTAAACTTTGTTTTCATTTGCAAATATTTATAATAAATATTCATATTATTTAATGCTTTCTTTATTGAATAAAAGGGAAACAATACAACAATTCTTCATACATACGACAAATCTTTCAATCCAACCTAATTGTTTTGATAATTTAACCAATCCGTATTGCTAGGTCCGTCGTCGTGGAAAAGTTTTCTTCTCATCACATCCCTTCGTTTCATCTTCCAATAGGACTTTGTTTCAGGAGACATATGGGTGGTATCCATGGCCATGATTTTCATCTCTCTATCCTCCATGTCTTGTTCTTGTGCCTGCTGCCTTTCAATTGCAAATGCTTCAGCTCGTGCCTTGTCTGCTTCTTCTCTTTTCAAGTCTCTCTCAAGTCTCAGTGCACCATTTTTAGCAATTTGCTCCAAAAATTGTGCACATTCATTCTTCGAAGTGCTCCCTTTCTTCGCCTTTGCCGCTTTTCTCCCAATAGGTCTCGGCGCACGTGGGAGTGGTGAGTCTTGATCCATTGGGGAGTCCACTGGCGAATCGGTTGCCGGCGAATCGTGGAGCGGCGTCTCATTCAACACAACCGGCGGAGTAGTGCAAATTATTTTGAATCTCGAACAATTCTTCACAAGTTCCCAACATTGGTGATTTTGGAAACTTTTTTTGCCTTGCCCCGTGGCACCGAACCACATTTGTGCTTGTATGATCTATTAAAAAAAAATGGAAATGCAACCAAAAAATGAGTAAGGGAGAAAATATAAATAATTTGGAAATGCAAGAAAAAATAATAATTATGCAACAAAATATAAATACATTAGAAATGCAAGAAATAAAATGATTATGCAAGAAAACAATAAATACGGAAGAAAATATTAACAATTTAAAATTGCAAAATAAAAAAATGATTATGCAACAAAATATAAATAAATTAATATGTAAGAAAAAAAAGTTACATTAAATTAAATAAAACAATAATTATAAATATTTTACCTCATCCGTAAGATTTTGACCGCTTCGAAGGTTCTCCCTCGCTTTTGTCAAAGCATCCCTCCATTTCCCAAACTCTCTATTCAAAATTTTCCACCTGGAGGATAAGGCCATTTCCGTCCGAGCCGAACCGGATTTTTCAGAAAATTCTTCATGAATTTTTCTCCACATTTGAGAAAACTTCATTTCATTGCCTGATATAGGGCAATGACTAACTTTCACCCAAGACTCACACAACGCAATATCTTCCGCAGTTGTCCAAGCGCCTCCGGCTTCAACAGAAGATGCCATTGATCTTTTGATACAAATGGAAACTAGTAGAAAAATGTGAGTAGAATGGAAAATAAATTGGAAGGAGAAGAGTTTATATGAAGATTGGTGTGGAAAGTGAATGAAATTGATAGGTATTTATAGAGAAAAAATCCAGAATTTTTTGGTATTTTTTTGAATTTTTTTAACCCAAAAAAATCGAGTCCGTTGGATTTCTGGACAAAAAACGATCGAAGCATCCGGGAAGCGCCACGTGGCGTCTGCCCGTTGGGGGCTGTCAGTCGCTGACGTCAGCGCGGTGAAATCAATTTTTTTACCGTTGGCGCGTGTATTTCACGCGCCAACGGTAAAAAAAAATTTGATTTGCTTCGCTGACGTCAGGGGGGGCCTGTTGCCCTGGCAAAAAGGGCTGCGGTGGACTTGCTCTAATAACTGAAAATTATGAAGACTGAAAAGGAGATGACTAGTGTATACAAAAGACTTGCATAGAGTATTTTGCTTTTGTTGTAAATAGCCCAACTTTGCTATTATTGGAGAATGAGGAACCGAACTTAGAATCTCGGTGCATGAGTAAATGCTCTTAAATACTTGAGCTACAAGTAACCCTAAAACAATAAGCTTGCCTTCCTTTTCCCTCAACTTGGCCAAGCTCAAGCTGTTCCTCCCTGCTGTACAGAACATTGGATCTTAAAATTATTGGGCCCAATAGAAGTTGGTTCGGGCTTCGTATAAAAAATCTGAACAAAGTGCTTGTCTACAACTCCATGGGCCTTGGCTCAGGACATATTATGGTGGGCCTGCAAAACCTCACTCCACCAGTAATAATCCTGTTGCATCTTCTTCTAAGATAAGGATGCTGGGAAACTATAAGCTTTTCGATAATTAACTTCATACCATCTAATAATGCCAGTGATATGGGAGGAATTTACTAATTATTGACTATACAACAGAAACTATTGCTGTGTTTTCTACAGTCGTTTGGACTTGCAAAGTTGCTTATAGCATTTACATAATAATACAAGCCAAAGAGGATTACATAAATTTGAGTACTGAAAGCACGTTGTTGTGTAGGGGATCAGAAATGTGTTCAAGGAGGTTCTGTACAGGACCTTTACCTGTCAATGCTGCTTGACTGTAGAAGCCTAACCAGGCTACCATCGCTAGCCGCCCATTTTTGATCTCTTTCACCTTCAGCTCTTCAAAAGCTACGGGGTCTCGGGAGAGGTTCAAGGGATCAAAAAGCTCTCCTCCTGGGTAATTAACATCACCTGGAAGGTAAATTCCCAGAGGCTCTAATGCTTCAATCCCACAATATCTTGCATATTCTGGTCCAACCTAGTCACCATCAAATGTTTGAAATAAATGAAAAACACGTCCACATTTCGAGTTGCGAAAGACATGCTTCAATCAGAAATATGAGAAGCAAATCTGTAAATCAGAGCTATATCTTTTGGCCAGTAGAAAAAGGTTTTAGAACCTAAAACCTCAGATAATTAAGCTAGTTAATATTTCATCCTTTTTATCAGATTACCCATTTAACACCATGAATGGTTCAATTTTGGAATGGTGTGGTTGTCATAAATGCAGAGATGCATGCACACACAATCTTTGCATGTAAATGTGATCAACAAAGTATGAAAATGAACTCTTCCGGACTATGCTGTAAAGACAATCTCCCCTGCGGGACAATGAATTTTTCTGGACATTGCAAGGAAACAATTTCCATTTCCAACATTATGCGTGCTAAATTCTATCACAGAAATGAATGAACAATATCCTTAAGAATAAGTTTTTTCAGGCTCTTGAATGAGCCTCAAGAGCCGCATTCCAGACAAACTAACATCAACTAAGCATACTTGGAAACACCTGGTTAAAATGATGGAATCTGAAAATCTTTCTAGGGGCATATGGTACAGTCCATGAATATGTAAGACACGATGGGGGCTTTAAAATTTCATTACCATCAGGAGGGCTTGGCATATGGCTATAACAATCACTCCTTGGCTTCCAGCTACGTGCAATCCCGGGATGCCTAGGTAGTCCAGTGTATCTCCCTGGTGAACATTGATAAGCCAAAAGGAAAATAAAGTTAATAAAAACAGTTCACCTCGCATATGTTCATACCAAATTAAATAAGAGGTTTATTTAAACTCGTACGACAGATGACAGTCAAATCAGGGGTATACAGGAACAATTATCCCCTAGCAATAATGGATCGGAAATAGTTGAGAATTTTCAGCTGTTATTCACTTCAGGGAGAAACTTAACCCACCGCAATCTACTTGCAAATTATGCCAAGATATATCACAAGCCTGGTAAGGACCTACCCTATCATTTCTATGCCAACTTTTAACAATACCTGCATGTGAGCCTTACCACAAACATTTGACCATATGTTGTAAGGATCTTACACTGAAAAATAAGTTACAAACAGTTTGCAAAAGACAAAATCATGGCTTGGAGACAAAGGAAACACTATTTAAACCATAAATCTCTGAAATAGGCAGGAACTCACAAACCTAACAAACTTGTGACATTATGTCTACGCCATGGTAGGATGAAACAGAAACCGGAAAACTGATAACCTAAAACATATTGTGACTAAGCTACCAATGTATTAGCAGTTGAAAATGATTTGTAAACTATCTCCACCATAAATGACTCTCTATTTGATTATCCAGAAAATAATAACCTTAAGTTTTGAATAGCCAACTCGCCACCATACAGGTTCAACAAAGTGAAAGGCTCCTAAGAGGTCCAAAATTTCAGGAATCAAGGCACCAAGGGCTGCTAGCATGGCCCAACGAGCATGGAGTATTTCGAAGCTGCAGGGTAAATTACATATTTATTTAAAGCCATTTACAACCAATGTCATAGTTAGCATAGTAAAACACTTTGAAAATAGTCTTCCTTTAGATGAATCATTGCAGAACTGGACACTTAACCCTCCAGAGTAATACGAAAGCACTTAGACAAGATCTATACAATATTGTGATTCGGGAAAGTTGAAAGGATATATCTTATAACACTATGGTTACCAAAGCCTAAATCAACGTACAAGATTTGTCACCCTAATTCTATTCCAAAGTTCAAAATTGTGAAAATTAGCATAACAGTTAAAATCATATGGGATTCTGGAGTAAAATTGAAACAGATACTCAGTGAGAAGATTATATTCAAGATGATTTCCTGTGTCATAAAGGGACCCAAGTAACTCTGACTTACTTAAAATATTTTTGGAAAGCCACAGGATCCCTGCTCAGACCTACAACATCAAAACCATAATCCCCAGGTAGTTCTCCAGTCAGATATGCAGGATAATCATAAGGAATTGGACCAAGCCAGCGGGGACGCTCTTCGCCATACCACAAGCTGTGAAACAGAAAATATACCATATAGTGAATCAGTGTTTACAATAAGTTACGAATTCTACACTGATCTTCTAATTTGACATAAGCTCGCGAATTATATTAATAAATAAAAAAAAATTTGATTTCTAAAACCACTATGTTTTTGTTTTGGTCAATATACGGTTAGTAATTAGCATAGTTGTTACTAGTTAGTCCCCAAAACAAGGTCCTCAATGAAAACAGCAAATGGTTAGTTTTCCATATGATGACATATTTTTATGAGACCTGAGCAAATGACGTACAGAAAATGATTAGGTAGTGGTGGTTATGACCAATTCTTAGATAGAAATATCCACCAAAAATAGGCTCAATATCTACTTATGCAACGAAAGATTTCATCTTTCCAAGTGTAAACACTCTTTTATATGGCATTGGCTAGACCTACACTACACTACACTACACAGAAGGATGGATGGATGGATGGGCATGTCCTACTATTACAAGTGCAAATTGGGATCCAACAACTGTCTACGGTGATGATAATTTTATCTATAATTACAGTAGAGAAATAGAGAATGGCTTACCCGAAAATTACCTCTGTTTTCGAGCCTTTTCGGCCAAGCCCCTAAACCTGGAAGAATTCTCAACTGCAACTTTCTTCCTTTCCTCCAATCGCCTCTGCAGCGACTCTCCGACTGCGCTGTTGGCTATGGCTTTCACAGCCGTGAATGGAATCGCCGAGAACACCACAACTCCCACAAGCTTCACACCAATAAATATATGCAACGTTAATTAAGAAAAAGAATTATAACAAAAAATTGGTACTGAAAACAGAAAGGGAGAGCGGAGCGGACCTCTTGCCATGAAGCTTTGCAAACAGAAGAACGAGGCTTAGTAAATGTGAGGTTGGTGGGGGATTTTAGAGCCAGAGAGTGAGGATGATGAATGAAAGAGGAAACTGAACAAGGCGAAGCTCGTGGCTGAAGCAGCGCCATGCTGTCATTCTAGTCGTTGGAGTTAAGTTTATAAGTTATGTTTTATTCTAGTCGTTGGACAGATTTCAACCCCTCCCTCATATATGCCTATTTAAATCCATCAAATTTTTTGCAAAAGAAGTGTGCCCGTCCCTTACACTCAAATTTAAGTCCCTTTTATTGGCATATTGCTGCCCACGCCACATGTTCCACTATTAACATGTTGCGTTATGCAATTTGGTTGTATAAAAGCTTTTATCAGTAGCTCATGTAAAAAATAGTTTAAAAATAGTTTGAAAGCTTAATCGAATTTCACCCGCCAAGAAATATTCCTAGATCCGCCACCGATGCCGTAAGTAAATTAGATTAATGAGTAAAACAAAGGATGAGCAGTAGTTGTTAGTAAACTGAAACCATGTATTAATGTAACACCAATCCATTATCCATCCATGTACACAATGATGGGCATCGTAAACCAAACATAGCATACAAATTTCTAATTAGGATATTTGGGCATTACGCATACAAAGGAAAACGCTTACATAAACACATACTAGCTAGACGGCATAGAAATTAATACAATACAGAGGTGGATGATGATCGGGAATTCAACATGCTAATTAATTAAACAATTTTAATCTTCGTAGATGCGGCACTCGTCGGTTTCAGGGTTGTCTTGACAGAAAGACTCGAGAGGATCTTTGTTGGCCTCCAATTTGAGCCTGAGATCGGCCTTGGCTTGGCTGACCTCCTCCACCTCGTCCCAGGCGACTTTGCACTCGTCGGCGATGGGATCTCCCTCGCACACTTGCTTTGCTTCCATCACTTTCTTCTCTATCATCTCCGCCAGTTGCTTCTCCCTCTTCTGCGTCCCTTTGAACTTCCCCTGCACCCCACCACTACTCGTCCCGCATTTTATCATCCTATTCTTATTATTATTGTCCGATCTCAGGCACAAAGAGGAAGAAGAAGGCGATGATAAATCATTAATCTTCTTCTTCAAATAAGTTTCAGACAAACACATCCCACCCGATCCTCCTGATAAACAAGCCATCTGCTGATCTGCTGAACTGATTGATCCTTCAATCTTCACTTCTTCTATGCGTCCTCCTACCTACAGCAACCAAACAAACAAACAATGACAATGGCTGTGGGGCTATTTAATTATACCTGAGTGCTCTGCTCAAATACGTGGGCCCTTGACGGATTTACCTAAATACCCCAATAAAATACAGCTTTCCTTTTTTCTTTCTTTGTTTCTGGTAGGGTATCATTGGTACGTCCTACGGTAGGCATAGGATAAGGTTATTCAATCCATTATTTGTCACAAGACACCAAGCAAGCAATATCCTTATCTACAACAACAAACTCCAGCTACTCATATAAAGTCCAAGATGAAATCTTCCAATCACACAACAACAAAAAGTCCCCTTGTTTTTTTTTTTTTTTTTTCTGTTCTTCTTGTGCTCCTGTTATCACATTTAATAACCAGGCGCCCACGAAAGCCCACGGTTTTTGTAGACCAAAAATTGAAAAACAAAAAAAAGCCCACGGTTTTTGGGTGCCCCTTCTATTTATTTGTGTTCTAAAGACTCAAATATCAAACATTAGATTTCCTAATAAATAAAAAATTAAAATCAAACATTAGGGTTTTTAACTCAAATGGTCTCCAAATTTATACACAATTTGCATTTTAGTCTCTCAACTAAATTATCCGTTTAAATGGTCCACATACTCTTTATTATTCGGCCATTTGGTTCCACCAATGTTGCCTTCAAATGTAAGAGTAAAACCCTACATCCTCATCAACATCCATCCTCATCCCCGACCAGGCATCATCTTCCCCAACTAACAAGGTCATCATCTTCCCAAACATGAAAAATCAATCAAACCTAGAAGATCAGAAAGAGAAAGAGGTGGGGAGAGATGACCATCCTTCCACATCAATCAAGGCAAACCCATATGCACAGGTTGCTGGAAGTAAATCACCTTTTGACCAGCACCCTTACTCATTCTTTCCTCTGCAAGCTCTGGTGAGAAAACAAAAAGGAAAAGCAAGAGGCGCCTCACCCAGATAGAGGAGTCCAGCCCGAAGGAAAGTCTTGGAACCCTAAAAAGCTCTGCTCCTATGTGCTTGGGTTGGGGAGATTTCACCAAAGAGGATTGAATGGAAGAAAGTGAAGGAAAATAGAGAAGAAGACTTGATAAAATTGGGGCTTCCAGCGCCTATAAAAAGAGGCACCTTCTACCCAGCAACATAACTCTTCCAGGGCGAGCAACATCCTTGCTCATTATTGGAAGCTTCAATTTCAATCTATGATCTTCCATCTTCTTCCTCTCTCTCTCATAAACATATCCAGAGAGAGCAAGCATCACCTCTCACCTCTGGAACCCTTCAATTTTAAGATGTGTTCTTCCATCTTCTTCCTCTCTCTCTCCCATAAACACATCCAGAGAGAGCAAGCATCACCTCTCACCTTTGGAATCCTTCAATTTCAAGCTATGTTCTTCCATTTCTTCCCATTTTTTCTTCTGGCAAGCCACCCAAGAGCTTGACGAAGCTTTCGTCAAGCTGCTGGAAATTTTCTAAAGCCACCCATTCTTAAACCTTAATCTTTCCCTTTCTTCCCTCAACAAATCCTCCCAAAATTCCCACTCCCCTTGCTTTGAACCTCTGTTTCTCATAGGAAATCCAAGCCTTCTCTCTCTTATGCTAAACTCATAAATGCTCAGCTCTCATGCCACAAGCTTCTCATGCTAAGCCATAATATTTATCTATAAGCAACTGTTGGTTTTGTTAGTGAAGGAAACCAAGGTACTTCCTAAGGCTCCACGAACCTTTCGAAACACTCTTGGGGCCTGATTCTAGAACTCAGACACATGGGTAACTCCACCCATTTGTTAGAAATATGCCCTTAAAGCCAACTAATTATGTAATAGTTAGAGTTAATGACATCTTTGATAAAAGACATATTATGTTATCAATGGGCAAGAAAGGTTATTTTATACATTAAATCATCCTATATTATCTTTCAATATGTAGAACAACCATAGTCCAAGGAATACACAAGTGGATATGAGGGCTATGTAATAAGATTACATATATGGAGACTTCTCATCATCCCTAAATCCTGAATATGTTCCTGGTCATAGGAATATTGATTGGTCGTCAATATTCCGCAAAAACTAGTATACACAATATCGTCTCTATATGTAAGGAATGGCAAGGTCTCAAGTCATTAAGTGTGGAGACACATCAATATGTGTGTAGGTGCTTGTAGAAGAACAAGTAAACTGAACGCGATCCAACACATGAGTTACAACATGGAAGTCTTTACTCACATGTCAAGCTAGAACTCATAAATTGCAATGGTGCAAACTAATCCTTAGACCTGAGGCATCATAGATGTTTTATGGCTATGTTGTTAATCTTTGAGGGCACTATACGGTCATGCTGAATTAG